CATCTTCAATAGGAAAATTTTTAGTTTGATCTTCACTGGTCACTTGGTTATAGAAACATGTGTCGAAGTGTTAAAATAACGGTTTGGTGTTGGGAAAAAATTTCATTATAGGCTGTGTTCTGTTTAGTTTCATCGTTTCTCAAATGATTTGTTTATATATTCGCTGAAAAATATGCAATAACAGATATACAAAAGTCGAGATTACAGATTTCTTTTTTTCTGGTAAAATCTTGAGCGCTTTCTTTGTGACTAATTGTCGTAAATGTCATCATTTTTGTTACTTGCTACTTGCTAATCGAGTGTGCATAATTTCACCTTAATTTTTCTTGTATAAGTATTACAATAATAATCACGACACGTTATATTGTAGGTTTGCCTAAGTAACGTCTTTGTTCAATGCACCATTTATGCATTCCTTAATAATTTTTTTTTATTTATTCATTATGTAGGTAATATTGTAAACTGTTTGTGTTTTCTTAAGTTCAATTCATTGGGATTAGTGATTAGGAGAGGACTGATGAGAATTAGTTATGTCTCAAAATTCTTAGTTTCAAATAAACTATCTTCCTTTTCACCCATAATTCACATTTTCTGCATTTCGAACATGTTTTATTATGAACATAATAATAATAAACGCCTTTATTTCTTGCTACAAATGAAGTGTCGGTTTCCAACTTTTGTTGAAAATTCAATTGTTTATCGCGATATTCGAAACAAGTTTTTTCGCAATTTAAAGTTTTTCTTAAATTTATAAAATAGTATATTCTATAACTTGTATCATTCTCACAAACTCCGTAACAAAACATTCTGTTCTTTATCAGGCAGGTAACGTAATAATCACATACATTTTTTTTTTTTCAGCTAGGACTAGGTCATTCAGTATTTCACTGTTTTCTAAGTTTTTCGAAGTGAATGTTTTGGATTCAGTATTTTTTATTGTTCACTATTTCGACTTAGATATATTAAACATGTTTGTTCACCAAAACAGTACAAAAAACATGGCTGATGCTGGAATGGCCTGGAATTTCATAATTCTGGGGCGACACCTGTGGGCAATATTTTGAATATTACGTGTGGTAGACGTTTGAAGATATGTCAGTCGCCATTCGCTTGTTGTGTCTTGATGCAGTTTTTTATATATTTTTGTGTTTACTATTCAACTGAAGACAATGTCGTAAGTTTGTCCAATGAGCATTAATTATACAAAAGGACAATTTGAAATCATAACCTCCTATGGTTTACTTTCTCACATAAGCTAAATTTACAGAATTTTCTGTCCTATTCTGTTCATGCTAAGGATATCAGTATCGGAATCAATGAGTCAGACTACTTCTTACTACTGTGAGACTCAATAGAAAATAGTATTTCTGTTATATGTTAGACCACAGATTATTTTTGTTAAGAGTAATTTGAATGAGGTTGAAAAAAGTATGTAAAACTAATTCCAATAGGGGATCATCAATATCAGCTTTATATTGTAGGTAATTTAGTTGGCCTTGTTGTCGTCTTTCTTTCAACATCAGTATCTTCATCTTAGAAAGTGTGCTGTTCAAATGTTCCAGATAGTAACAATTCCTGCCATTTAATTGATAGGTAGAGTGCATGAATTTGAGTGAATTGTTTTTAAAAACATCCATCCTGGAAATAAGGATTTGAAAACGTGTTCTCACTCGAAACCCTATCTACAGATTGTGAGATTGAAGATGATCATATCGTCATATCAGTACTTCTTTAAAATTCGACAGTGTGGAATATTTCTTCCAGTTTCCTTGAATATCTAGAAAGAATAACATACTTCTGGTAGAATTTAACGTCGATGTCAAATTAATCAACTATTCCGTTTATATCTGAAAGAAAGATTTGTGTATTCTACTTTTTGCGAGAAGAAAACAACAACTCAATAAAGTTTTTTCTTGAAACGTTCATTAAATACCTCTGAGAGCTTTTGTTATAAACTCCTGTGGTCAAACCCCAGAAATAAATGTAATGAATTCAACATAACTCTGCTGGAAATCATTCTCTTCTGAGGCATTCACACTGTTTGAAAAATGCAACAGAAATATAGAATAGCTATTAACTACATGTACGAATAAATCGGAAAAACAGGGCAATTTAAATATCGCACATGCCTAATATCTCAATAATTTGTTATCACAGTTCTTTGTTTACTCTCAACACATTACACTATTTGTTTTCATTATCTTGAATATATATTATGAATATTCTGGAGCAGAAAGAATGAATTCATCATTTGTGTCCATCGGAGCCGTCCAATCATTGTTATCTAATTGATATTGTTTCATTATATATTCATTCAATTTGCATTATCGCTGTTCAAATGAGTTGAAGAGATTGTTTTAAAAACTCCTATTTGCAAGATAAAAACGTAACTTAGTGATAATGTGATGTTAGGTGAATACGCGATGTGATAGACGTGTTCATTTTGCCGAACTAATTTTAAGTCTCGACCGTCGATAATGATCAATTCGGTGACTATGAAAGATCATTTTCGGTAGTTTCGATGTCTTTCCATTGGGTTTACAGTCGATTCAATTTGAATGTAGGTAGGTGTAATGAATGTTTTGCTGTTCACTCAGTAAACATGATTATCAACTTGCGAGAATTTGTGTTCGATATGATAAGGTTGTTGTTATTATGACAAATGATGTCAAAGAATAATTGTTGTGAATATTGACACAACTTCAGCTTCAATCGTAACTTTGTTTAATATTTGTGAAATATTCTTGGATAGGATGATCATTCGGTAAAATTGTCCCATGTAGAAAACTGAAAGATCAAATAAGAAGTTTTGTCACTAGTTCCTCTATATTCAATGATATCAGTAATATAACTCAAATTATTTTTGTGTTAGTAGCACTAAATCCAATGCTCGGTTGGAAAAGATAACAACATGCAGATTTTCTTTGTTTGAATATTTCAATTGTGATTTGTCGAATGACGTTATAATTCTCCGAATGAATCACCTGAATCGTGAATGATAATGATAATGTGAATATTCGCAATATTTTTAAGTGTCTATGATTTATTTTCATGTCACGTAGAAAATTCAAAAGTTTTTGTCAACGTATCTATACTGATATTATAAATGTGAAAGTTTGTGAGGATGGATAAATGTATGTATGTTTGTGGCGCTTTCACTTTGTGGCTCTTTCGCGCCTAAACGACTGAACGGATTTAGATGAAACTTTACATAAATACAGCTTATACATCAGAATAACATGTAGGCTACAATTTTGTGTAGTGTCCGTTCGAAACTGGTTTTTACGACCGAAACTGAAAACGAATTTCGGCAACGGTCTCAGTTTCGGCCGAAACCGAAACTTCCTTACAAGGATTATGTTTTGAGGGTAAAATAAAGAAAAAGTTATTTGAATCAGTAAGTCTTCATTGTTTTATCTCCAAATCACAAAGTTATGCAGTCTTCGACATTAGTACTTATTGATGATCAACATAAAAAACCCTTATTTAAGAAGAAATAATAATTGCACCTTAAAAATACTTAAAATAGGTGGGGTGTTTTTTAGAGTAGCTGTAGATCCTTTTTTTGAATATTATTGATGGGTTTTCAAAAATATTAAACATAAAATTACTTATTTCAGTTGTTACCTAATATCACTTGTATGAAATTTAACGAGCCGAACATGACCGATCACAGCGCGGGAACTCCCGAATGCAGTTTCGATCGTAGTTTCGGCAGGTTTCGGCAGTGTCCGGCCGAAACCGAACTTTCGGTCGGACACTAGTTTTGTGTAATTTTCGTCATGATATAACGATAAGTATTAGTTGAGTCGGAAAAATTCTTGCTCCCTGAGAGCTATCTTGGTATGCGCTACCTATACCGTTGAGTTACTTGAAAAAAATGTACTGTAAGATTGTTTACTTTAAATACATAGTTCTAAATAAAAGTCCAGCATAGCCACTGTATGCAAAATACTGATACTTTTTTAGCAATGCACATTTTGGAATTACAAAATAATGTTGTAAACTGTTTCCCCAAGATTTTGGACGAATTTGAGAAAAATTAGGACTTTCTGGTTAGGATTTTTTATTATTCGTTTTACAAGTCTCAAGTTTGTGTTTCTTGGCTAATTTTAGTCCAGGTAACCAATTTATACTATTTATAAGCGAATAGTTGCTGTGGAACAGGGCGTTTTCCAAAACAGGTCCCAAAAACGAAAAAAGTTGAATTCCTCTAGCTCATGTTGAAAAAAGTATTGTTGATCTGAAAATCAGGCTTTTTACTTAGGTCAATTTACTCGCAAAAATATCATATCAATCAAGGAGATTAGCGGAAGGCACTGTTTTTTAATATTGTTTGATGATACCTAACATCTCCGGTTTTTCTTCAGTGCGAATAAATCTTTCGCCTTTTACTAAAGATTTCGACTCTCCTTGATAGGAAGACTTAAAAGATTGTCTCTGGTCTGGATTCCTGGCCATACTGGCCTGGCTGCTGACTCCCTTGCAAAGGAGGGTGCTGCAAGCAGCTTCATCGGACCAGAACCTGTCATTGGCATTGTTTTAGGCTTTGCCAAACAAAAATGGAACACCTGGATGGCAAGAAGATTTATGGACTTCTGGCAGAATCTTCCAGGACTACAGTAGGGATGAACTAAGTACGATATCTAACAGGCCTTCATACAGGTCATTATCATTTGAATTACCATATGCAGAGACTCGGACTGTCGGAAGACAGTGTGTGTCGCCTCTGTTTGGAAAATGATGAAACAGCAGAGCACATACTTTGTGTCTGCCCCGCTGAGGACCAAATCAGGTTTTTAGAGTTCGGTAGAGCCGTATTCCTACCATCTGACGTGAAAGACCACCCATCATACAAACTTATCGGCTTCGTTAAGAAACTTGGTTTATTTTGTCGAGTGTGAACCGCAACCCTTAAGGGTTGCGGTGGAGGGTCGAATAGACCCACTCACTTTGGATCTAACCTAACATCTGGATTTAATGTTGTTTCTTATTTCCAGGGCACAGCTCAACAACGGGTTCGTGTGCGAGCTCAAGCGGCGCTAGTGGCAGCGGCAGCAGCTCGAGACGAGCAGCGAGGCAGCAAAAAGTCGGGTCGGCAGCTCCGGCGCTCCTCTCGGCCCCTGCCACTCACGCTGCCGCAGCCATGTCCGCCGATCAGCCCGAGGTGCCCAACAACGGACTCTCCGGTAAGTATTCTACTTTTTTTTTCTTTTGGTTTCATGATTATTGGAATTCGGGGCGAATGTAGGCATTAGCAACCGATAATAATTCTCCACACCTTGGGTCAAGGGATAAAATGACTTTTATCGTATTTGTGTAAGCGATTATTTTAATATTTGTGACTGCAGTATCGTATGCAATTATTATCATTGTTTTCCTTAATTAGATTATTGAATTATAAAATTGTCACCATGTTTCGTAAGGCACTGCCCTGACGGACGATAGTGAACTTCTTGGTCACGTGATCAAGGCATGAGTCAGGTTGTGATAAACCTTTGTTATTTTTGAATGAATTTTCATGGATTCTAAACTTTCATTTTTACGGTCGTGACGTTCCCGAGAAGGGAACTAAAACTACTTTTTAACGGATCCAGAACCATTCGAAACCCAAAAGTTCAAGGTCTTCATGTTATCAGAGAAATATGATATAACCGCGCGCAGACGATCTAGGGCAGGGATCTCAAAACTTTGAAGCCTTCGGGCCATAATGATTTTTTCAGTTTGTTCCAAGGGCCAATTTCTGCCCTTAACTATATTTCTAGACTAGGATAGTCGCAAAGTGCGTGACCTAAGCAAACTTACGCTTTTTTTGCATTTCAATTATTATTGTGTATTGTGACA